ATCCATCCATCCATCCATCCATCCATCCATCCATCCATCCATCCATCGCGGCCAGAGCTGCTAGCGCTCCAGCGTTCGTCTGCCTGCACCAGCTGAGTGAAGCGAGCGTGCACGGGAGGACTCACTGTTACAGTTCTTAGAAACTTAGTGTCAGTCAAAAATTGTGTTATGAATATGGAAAAAAAAAGTATATAAGTTGCTTCATACAAGTCGCAGGACTGACAAATCTACGCAAAACACTGCGACTTATACGCCGGAAAATACAATATCTCCATGTCCTTTCTAACTGCATCCATATATCTCCTCTTTGTCTTGTTCCTGGCAGCTGCATTTTTAACATCCTTCTACCAGTATACCCACTGTCCCTCCTCTGGACATGTCCAAACCATCTCATTCTGGTCTCTCTAACTTTATCTCCCAGTTGTTCAACCTGTGCTGTACCTCTGATGAGCTCATTCCTAATCTTATCCATCCTTGTCACTCCTAATGAGAACCTCAACATCTTCATTTCTGCCTCTTCCAGTTCTGTCTCATGTCTTTTTGTCCTTGTCTCTGTCTCCAGACCACACAACATAGCTGGTCTCACCACCGTCTTATAAACTGTCCCTTTGACATGTTTTGAACACTGAGATGTCTTTGCAAGTGTTTTATATTAGACGACATTGTTCAGTACTAAATATCAACATGTTCTGTCTACTTTGTTTTAGTTTCTTCTCTTTAATTTTAAGATATGAGCAAAATCAACAGGTTTCTGTGTTTGACCAAAAGAAAACCAAAAACTAAACTGGATTCTTGAGTGCATCGTTGCCTTTTTCCCCTCAAAGCCAGAAAAGAAACGAGCCGCAGCTGCAAACGATTAAAACTGATGTCGGTAAAACTTACTCAAAGTGACTTTAGAAAATAAACTAAATGAAGATGTTAGATCCCACATTTTGATTTTTTTTTGGCGATGACAACAGTAGTTAAACAAAAAGGAGCTGGATGACTTGATATCCTATAAAACACATCTTATAATAGTTGTAAAAGTTTATAATAGTTTACATTTTTAACATCTTACTATCAACTAAGTATCAAACAGTTGGTCACTAGTCTGTCAACATACTGTGCGTTACAAGTTTGAATTTATTTAAATGTATTTGTTTTGATTAAATTTAATATCTTACATGCGCTAAATATTTGATAATAAAGTTTATTTCTGGCCAGATTGACAAGCTAACTCACGTGTCAAACTAAAGGCCCGAGGGCCAAATGTGGCCCTTGTAAACATCGTATCTGGCCTCCAAGATGATGCTTTAAACACAATATATTTTATAGCTCATCTCATTCTCTCGTTTCTTCCCTCATTTTCATGCATACCTGCTAACATTTGCTAATGGCAATGAGGAACACCTCTACTTACAGGCATTTGCATAGTCATGGGGTGAGGGAGTGTCCAGGATTATGCTTCCCCGGATTTTTTAATCTACTCAAAACTATGTATTTTATAGCCATTTGAAGTGCATTGAAAAGTGCAGCAATGAACTCTAATTGGCCTTTAAACTGAACTTTAACTGAGAACATGAAAATTGCATCAGCCATATATTTTTATTTTATCTTATTTAATTTTTTTACCCACTGAGCTCCGTGAGTTTGTCTTGACTGCATCAAACTGCACTTTGTACTTTACTTTACTTTACAAAATATCTTTTGCATCATATAACCTGATGAAGTAAGAAAGCAGGCTGCCTTGGGAAATGTACGAAGTAACAAGTACTTAAACAATACAAACTTCCCCTCAAACACCACATCCGTGTCTACAAATCACGAGTCTCCATTTACCCATTAATGATGGCCATAGCAACTAAAAATTAGATTATTTACTTTTACTGAAACCTTGGTACATTTAAATTACCCCCATCACCACAAGCGCAAGCACATACACAGAAATAAAATCCCTCAAGCATCTATTTAATCTAATAAGCAAAGATGTTCAACCTAATAAATGATGGTTGAACCAATAAATAAACATACCTGAACGTCATCAACAAAATGTTTACCGGTATCTTTTATTCTGAACATGTTGCAGATGACTTTTTTTACTATCTCAATTTGCATTATTACTGTAACTTTGTAATAATTCGAGGTATCAGCACAATTCCAACATTTTCTGCAAGATGAGAAATTACACTTTATATATGCTTGTGGCCGTGGGCTTAATTTGAGCCGGATCCTGCCGGAACAGGATCCGAAAACTCTCTTACAGGGTAACTACAGGGTGCATTCCGTTAACACTCAGGCTTACTAATACTAAAGTTACGAACAAATATGACTGCCTAGAATGAATAAAACTTATATTGGATATGTAAACTGAAAATAATTACATAAACACTAATTTTAAACACAACAGCCACTTACGGGCGGGCATACAAGCTGCCCCTTCAAGTAACATTTCCACATCTACCCTTAAAAAAAAACTCTGCCCCTAAAAGTGTGGTGGAGGCGAGTGCCAAGCTAACCAGGCAGTCGTACGTGGGTAGGAGCCCACAGGCAGCGGCCATGAACAGAAGGAGGAGTCCAACAACAATGAGCAGGGACAGTGTCAGGCTCGGTCAAATAAGGAGGTGGGTAGGATGCTTGACAGGAGCGGATTGTTTACAAATGTAGATTAACGTAGATGTTCAACAACCTGTTAAAATACACCAGGAAATCACGTCTACTTTACTCAAAAATTTCTGGGGGAGGACCCCCACACCCCCAGATCCCCTCCCCACGGGCCCGCCCACTATTTGCATTCCAGCATGGATTTTACACATTAAGCTCTGCTTATGGCCCCCTTTAATAACTGAGTTTGACACACCTGAGCTAAGTGTCAGCTTTCCATTAGCCTATCAGCTAGCAGTTGAAAGCTCAACAACTCAAAGTGAACTGCCGCCATCTTAAAACAAATCCACTCTCAAAAAACTTCACCATTTATAAACCTTTACTTTTCCCTCAACTACACATGATAAGATTTATAGTTAATTCTTATTTTTAAGCTCCTACTAGCTGTAGCATTTTAGCTAGTTGTTAGCTCATTAATCAGGTCAAAGGTCAAGCATTTCTCTGAGTTAAAAGAGCTGTCTACTCATAATACATTAACTGTTTTCTACGGAAACTCACTTTAAAAGTTCTGAGCTGTCTTTTTGAATAGTTTGTTATGGAAATTAGCACGTTTCACATACAGCAGCTCTAGCGCTGCAAATGAACTCCTGGCTCGGCCGGTTCGCGTCCAGCCTGACGTTTTCAGACTTAACGCAGCCAAAAGCCAGGAGTCTCTCTAAGTTTCTGTGAGAAAAACTTCAGGACAGCTGCCCTCAGAAAACACAAGACCTGGACAAATGTTACTTGAGCAGAGCTGATAAGCATCTGCAGAAGGAAGTGATGCTTCGCTGCAGGATTTCCAGTGTGGAAACTACCCTGCAGCAGCAGTGGCCACAGGCTGAAGTAATGACGATAGTGTTGGAGTAACTGTAGAAGCTGGAAGATCTCCTATCTGACACTACGCCACACATCAATACTTACATTAGCCCCCTAAACAGAAACACACACACACACTTTGACTGAAAGACAATTGGGACTTCTGCTGCATTAACCTAATTAGTGAGTGAGAGCCAGCATCCAAACCCTGGATTTTGTTTCATGTCTTCCTGCCATGTCAACACACACACACCCCACACACACACATGCACAGCCATCCAACCATCAAGTGAACATCTGTCACGTTGCATGCTGTGCATTATCATTTAACAGGCCACGACAGTTGTTCCAACACCTTCCTCACGAATGTTCACAACAAGCAGCTGGACAGCAAAGGTTCAGACCAGAGCGGAGTAAACTGTAGCTGCAGAGAGATGAGCCTGAGGGCAAAAGCTGAGAGTCAGGACTGGAGACACCAAGGAAATGTTAGGAGTGTGTGGTTTGAGTGCAGACGGGGGTTTCTGAAGGTCTCCAACAGCACACACACACACACACACACACACACACACACACACACACACACACGTGGTCCAGTTCAGAGCGTGCAGAGCTGAGGATGACTCAAGAGGAATGAATGCTCATGTGAGGCCCTGCTCATTGTTTTATTTGTGTGACTGATTCAGTTTGACTCTTTTTGTGGTCTTTTGCTGGAACTTTGCACCACACATGTTTATTCAACTATTTCTAATTTTAAGCAGACTGCTTTGAAATGCCAGCTGGAGATTATACATAAATACATATTCCTGCTTCCTCAGAATATTAAATCGCCATGCAGCTTTCCTTGCATGCGCCTTCAAACTTCTATTTTAAACTTCTTGAACGTTTCTAAAGATCAAACTTTGCTATTTCTCGCAGAAGGAGGGTCCATTTCAACATGTAGGTCAGATGTTCCTGCATGTTTGCCTCAACGTTTGTCCTGTAAACAGTATTTTTCAGGTCTGCTGTCATTCAGGTTCACTAGGACTTGCATAGCTATATCAATTAATAATAATAAAAAAATGCATTGTTTTTTATCACAATAAACTTTCTTTTACAATTGTTTTGTTTAAGACCTTAAAGAACTGGAGATAGTTAAAATATTTTAATGTTATGTCCTGGGTTGGTCCAGATTAGTGAGGATAGTGAGAATATAAATTCCTATTTTTTCCTTATTTGCATTATAAAAGTAAAATTTGAACATTTCTGATCAAAAATATTCAAAATCACAATTCATTCACAACCACCATGAATTACTTTACTCCAGTTCAGTCCTGCAGGGCCTGTCCCATCAGTCTGAGTGGGAGGCGGAGCCTAAATAAACTTTACAACAAATCCAACCTGTTTTATTATCAACCAAATGTTTACACAGAAAGCTGTGCCGGATAACATCTGTAAACTCGACAGTGAGATGGACGCGGTCAGGAAATGTCAGAATCTTTAACCTCGGTTTGAACTGGAGCGTGAAAACCAGTCGTTGTTCAGGACAACAGAACCGTAGAGAACGTTTAAGCAGACATGGTACCACATGCAGAAACGCACAGATTCATCAGCTAGTCTCAGGAGTCGAAGTGACAAATAACGCTAATCTCTCATCACCAAGAAGACGTCTCTCCATCAAACCAAGAAGAAGCAGAACAGCTTCATTCCTCTCCTGGACAAGAGGAACAGGTTTGTTTTCAAAAATGTGTAAAATGACACAAACTCACTTGTTGACTACAAGTAAGACGCTTATTTTTTCTTCCTGAAGACGTTTCAGTTGCTGCTGTTTTTAATTAATCGGGGGAATTTGCTCTCGAGACAAGCCCTCGCTCGTATTATTTTCTTTTTCCGACTCCACTTTTCATGAATCAAAACTTAAACACAAGTCAAAACGTTCAACTTGAAAAGAGATTTTATCTTTTTTTTTCTTCCCCTAATAGGAATCTTTAAATGTGAGTAATCTTTAAAAACGTAATTTCTTTTCAAACTTTTAGCACTTTTTTTTTTTATGTCGTCAGTGTTGATTCTAGTTCTCGAACTAATTCAGGCTCAAAAGGCACCTCACAGTTTAAAACTTCATGTTTAAACCAGTTCAGTGACCCACCCAGCACCAGCACTCCCCTGAACACATGAAGAATCTGCTTTATTATTATTATTTTTTTTAAGATATTTGTCAAAGTTTTCAAGTCCAGATCAAGCAGCTCATGTTCTGCTCCGACACTCGACTCCTCCAACGTCCCCGATCGATCGGCTGCACCCTGTTTGCTCCAGCTGGGTGTGTCACGCTCACTTCCTCTGCGGTCAGTATGTTACCTGCAGCGCTCACCGTTTCCCCTCCGACTCATTAACCACAGCAGGTCGAGTCTCACCACCCGAGTCTAATCAAAACCTAAATAATTCAGGCCGACACGAGCTAAAATTCAATCTCGATCGCAAACATCACAGTCTTGGCACGACCGCGTCCCAAAAAAACTAGTCGGCTCCGGTTGGGTTTGGCCTTAACTAATCCTCACAATTTGTAGAACGACCACAGGGAGGACTGACATGCAGCAGATGAATTAATTACTACGGGTGACTCGAGCTTCAGGTTTCAGTGGAAGTGTAAAGAGATTGGAGTTAGATTACCAACAAGGGGGGGAACCCAACCCCGGCGCCCAACAAGCTGGCTCCAAACGCTCAGAAAGTATGAAAAATTGATGACACATCGGAGGAAAAACACTAAACTGTCAGTAAAATAAAAACTCGAAGCTGAAACTAGTCTGTGCAGAGTTATCGAGCGAAAGCAGACTCACCTCTGGCAAAAGGGAACTAAAGACGACAGAAAGGGTTTCGGCAGCTGCTCTCCTCCTCACCAGTTTTGCTCTAGATCACCCAGCAGCACATATCTTTTCAGTGATTTAACTTCCACTCAAGCCAGCTTTTTTTTTTCTCTCGTTGTCATAGGGCGTGTGCTTGGGAGAGGAATGTGGAAAGAGGCACAGCTTGAGCAACACTCTTTATTTCTCACAAACATTCCTTTTGTTTGGGGGGAAAAAATCACACATTTTCTGTGAATGTCAACCCGTTAACCTCTGTTTCCCCCAACTGCTTTGCAGCTTGTGTACGTTTCACGTGCATGTATGCTTCTTGCTGGCAAACAGACGGTTTCTCCTGCAGGATTTGAACAAGCGTGCGCTCATGTTTGGAGTGCATGTGTGTGTTCAGGGCTCTCTAGGCAGACAGATGGACTCAGGCCACA